GTATGTCACGACACAGCCCGACGGCGCAGCCCCAGTGAGCACTGCCACCGCCTGCATGGGGCCGCTCACTGACACGCAGGGGCATGTCTGCACGATCGGCCCCACACAGACAGCTTGAATGCGGGGTGCTTTCCAGAAGCCCCTGCCGCAGGTACTAAAGAAATACCCAGCCCCTGGCCTGCCCCCTGGCTACCTACTGCCAGCTGGCTGATTTCCTGTAGACCTCGTGGGCCTGCTGGCTCCGGCAGGGGGATCTGACGCTAGTGAGCAGAAATCCACAGCCCCGGAGACCCGCTGTGCCTAAGCGGAAAGGCAGACCCGGCAGAGCGAGGTGACAGTTTGAGGTCACGCTGACTCTTTAGGGAAGCCATTTGTGCTTCAAGGGAAACCGGCTCATTCCAGAAAGGACGTGCTCACTGACATACCAGCCTCCAGCCACTCCAGCCAGGAGGCCCTTCGGACAGTTCACGCCAGGGCCTTTGCAAAGGCACCGAAGGCGAGAGACACTTTGCAAGCAGCTCCTGAGCGCGGGCGCTGTCGGGGCTCCTTGTGCAGGGCAGATAACTCCAGGAGTCCGAGTCCTCCGTCCCTTGGCAGCTGCGCTCCAGGTTTCAGCGTTCCTCCGCGATGTCCCGCTCCTGGGTCTCCCTTTGCCCAAGCCCTCCCCCAGGAGCTGATGCTCCGTCGAACCCTGCTGCTATTGCTGGCGCGAAAGCCAAGCCGGAAACAAATGCAACCCCTGCAATTGCCCCAGAAAGCGCGCTTCCCCCGCCCCCGGCGGCAGCTGCTGCAGCTTGCCAGCTTGCCAGGCAGGTCCTCGGTGGTTCAGCCCTTTGGCCTCCCACCCGGGAGGGCCTCCTCCGCACTGTTGCTACTGCGCTGGCCCGAGCTCATGCCCAAGACACTCTCGTGTCAGTGCTCCCGCTAATGGTTTCCATCCTCGTGCGGAATACATTGTGCTAGGTGCACTGAGGCATGTGCACCACCCACGGAAACGCCGGCTGCTGGTGCAGGTGCTTTGGGCACTCTGGATAATGTCCCTGCAGGCCTTGCTCTGAGGAATGGCTGTTGCTACTGCGCTGGCCCGAGCTCATGCCCAAGACACTCTCGTGTCAGTGCTCCCGCTAATGGTTTCCATCCTCGTGCGGAATACATTGTGCTAGGTGCACTGAGGCATGTGCACCACCCACGGAAACGCCGGCTGCTGGTGCAGGTGCTTTGGGCACTCTGGATAATGTCCCTGCAGGCCTTGCTCTGAGGAATGGTGGGCTCCTGGCTGCCATGGCTGGCTTCTCGTGAGCTGAGGTCTCAGGCTGGAGCCCCGGGGGTCTCCAGACGGGTGCTCTTGTTGCAGGAGGCCTATTCCACGGGGGCGAGGCTCTGCGGGCTCTGCCCAGAGAAGCACCCCGGGCCTCGGACACACATTGCACTGGGAAATGGGAGATTCCAAACTCCTGCCAAGGTTCCTTCACAGCCCTGACCCCAAGACTCTGACGTCCCTTGGGTTGACTGGTACTTTAGGTATTTAAATAGATGGAGTAAGCATGGTGCAAAGGTGCTGGATGGGCAGGGTCCGGCCACAGCTCCTGTCCCAGCCAGAATCAGCCCCTCAGGAGCCAGAGGGAGCTCTGTCTCCAGGGCCAACGTGCACTCCAGCTGCCCATCCATGAGAGCTCCTCCTGGCCCTGGCGAAAGGAGGATGCTGTGACCATGGGGCCTATCTCCTCTCCTCCCTGCTCACGCAGCTGGGCAGAGCTCCTCTGGGCGGCGCCCACTGGCCCCATCCACAGCTTCGAGGAGCGGCGGGCGTGGTCCGGGGTTCTCTGCTCGGTGTCCCCTCATTTGAACCCTTTGACCACGCCCCTGACCCGGTTTTTCATTATTTGTCCCCCGGAATCAACTGAAGCCTGGGTCCAGTTGTCCCTCTTGCAAGGCTGGTGGAGAGACTTTTAGAAGTGGGGGGGCTAGCACCCCCCCTTGGGTTTCAAATAGTTCCTGGGGGGGACGCCAGAGCGGACGTGCAAGTGGTTGCTGGTGTTTGTGTGAGTGCTTGGGATCTGTGGATGGTTGGGGGCGTGTAACCGGGGCAGATTTCCGTTTCACAAGTTGCAATAACTTGTTAGTGCAACTGAAGAGCGATGTGTCCACATCTGTAGCAGGCTGCGCTCAGAGGCCAGCAGGCCTAGTGGGCAGGCTGGGCTCGACTTGCCCCCGGCCAAGCCCTCCTGCTCCACTGGTCCCAGCCCAAGGCCCAAAGGAGAGCAGAGTGCAGTGTCTTGGACCCCTCCTCCTGGTGCTCCTGAGCAGCCTCTTCCAGGCCATTTCCTGGCCCCTGGGCCTTACCTCTCCCCAGTGGCTCACTTGGGGCTTCCAGCCTTTGGACAGCCTCTCTGGCCCCCTTCTCCCTCCTTGCCTGTCAGCATCCCCCTTCCAATGCATCCTTCCCCCCTAGGCCTGCAAAGCCCTCCCACCCCCAGCCCTCTTCCCCCGCCTGGGCCTGCCTGCCCGC